GTGTGTGTGTGTGTGTGTGTGTGCATGAGTCACAAACCTGGTCATACAAATTTGCCAACCAATTCATTCCTTTTAATTGATAACCTTTCAGATTTCCCTTAAAAATTGAAGGTTGTGGATGCTCCAAATTCTCAGGCGTATCACTGAGACGTAATTCTTGAGATGCAGCAGCAGTATCAAATTGTTTGGTTCTGGCCTTTTCATTGTTAAATGCTTCAGTAGCATTTTTCTTTGCTTTTTGTTTCATGATTTCACTACACATTTAATAAATATATGCTTTTATTGTAAATGTAAAATCCTAAATGATTAAGGTTGATTTTTTAATCACATTCAACAGCCATTAAAATAATTATCTTCAAGATTTATGTAAAAAAATTATATATTTAACTCAAATACCTATCATAATCATCGATGCCAATAAGTCTAGGATTCTTTTCTTCATCTAATTGATTCAAGATTCTTAATTGTTCCTCTGTTGACGCTTTATCTATTTTTCGCGACATAAAATGAGCATATAATTCTGTCTGGGTAATAAGAAAATTTAATTTTCTTTGCTGACGTTTTGCCTAAAATAAGAGCAATGTAAAAACATTCGAAAAAATAAAAGTAGAAAATGTATCCTTTTATATATTCTAATATTCTCTTACTTCAATAAGTTCTACATCCATTTTACGTTGTTCTTCAGCTTCTTTCTCTAATCTTCTTCTAGTTTCCCGTTCGACTCGGTCATAACGTTTCCAGTAAGTCTGCATTTCTCTTGTCAAACGTTTTGCTCTCCAGATAGTATCCTTCATATTTCTCTGCGACTGAAAGAGATAAATATATATAATATGTATAACTATAATAATTTTAAGTAATAAGAATTAACCTAAGTATTAATTTATACTTACTTGCATGGCTTTTTGCCTCCAATATTTCATACAATGCTGCGCTACTTTCTTACAACTTATTAGCATTTCCTTATGATTATTGGTTTTCGCCCTTTGTACTTTTCCTAATTCCTTTTTAGACATCATCACCCATATTTTTCTTCTTCTCATTGTCATCACTTCAACACTTTTAGTATTATGTTTTTTCCTACCTCTACCTCGAGGTTGATGACGCATGATAGCTTCCAATTCAGATTCATCTAACTCTTCTTCTCTGGGAATTGATTTATCCCATTCTCCCTCCAGATATTCCCCTTTCTAAAAATAAATCATATAATATTTCATAAAAAAGAAATATAAAACGTATGTCAATATAAATGTAACATAAAATTTAATACATACACGATATTCCTCAGATGTGCAGTGACGATTAATTTTTTCCTTCTTGATTTTCATAATTTTTTTTTCTGGTTTTTTCTCTTTCTTCTTTTTATTTCCCACAATTAACTTTTGATGTTCTAAAAATCTATCGTAATTGGATAATAAACCCGCACTATAATATTGATATTGTATATTCTGAAAATAATAATACTTTATAAATAAAAGAAATAAAAATAGGCTAATAAACCAAGTCAGTTCTAAATTCTTAATTTTATATTGTAAATTAAAATATAGTATATTTATAATTAAAATATAGAATATTGCAAACAATTCAACCTGTAACAAAGTTATAGCTATATACTAACAAAAACATAATAATATAAAAAATAAAATACAAATAAAAATAAATAAAAACAAGTAATTGAAGATCGCACATTGGTCATAAAGACCAATAGTAAAAAAAATAATATCGTTATGAAATTGTTATAATATCAAATTATAAATTATTAGAGGAATCCTAGAATACATAAATATCAAACGGCAACATTCTTTGAAAAAATAAGAAAAATAAGTATATGTAGCTTATGGATGTAATTTTTATAATAAATATATTTTATAATATCCTGAATTATTTGCATTATTAAACATACAAAATTTAACTATTACATAGTTCTTACTTCTGGTTTCTGATAAAAACGACCTTGATATTTTTTTCGTAATATGTGAAACTTCAACATCTCTTGAAAATCTTCTTCCGTGATTTGGCTATCTGTGTCAGAACCTGATGCAGAACTATCAGAGGAATCACTTAAAAGAATATCTTGCAACCAACGTCTTTCTTCTCCTACACTAGACATATTGTACAGTCTTAACTTATTGATTCTTGCTTCTAAAAAAATAATTTATGTTATGAAAATATTAATTAAATGATTTAATAAAATTAAAATCAATGATATATACCTTCTTTTCGTGTGGGTACATTATCAAGATAAGCATCTGAACCATCAGAAGATTCCGATGAGACAGACTTGTCATCTTCACTGAAAAATAGAAACCAAATATTCGTAATTACTGTATCCATAGTATTAATTTATGTACTATTAATGTATTACAAACTAAAAAGACAACAAGAATATATTTAACAGTTAATAAATATATCAATACCTAGCTTGTTCTTGAAAAAGATTATCAATCTGCTTTAAGAAAGGCTGTACATTCAAGCTGCGTTCCAGTCTCTGCAGATGCAAAGGCGCAGCCATCTCAGCTTCTAGCTTCATCGCGTTTGCTCTATCAGACATTACCCGTCTATGAGAAACTTGACAATCTGTAACAATGCACAATAAATAAAAAAGAACCTTAGCAATTTAGAAAATAAAATTTTGTTTATACTTATAAACTACCAATCTCTACAAGTCTTCAATAACATACAAAAATAAATCTTGCAAATCAAAAAATGATACTTAATCGTTTTACTAAGATAGTGAATATATATAGTAATAAACATACAAGTTATAGCAGTATATATAAGTTTTTCCCTCCCAAAAATTGTGAAAACCCAATAAGGCAACGTTGAAAAGCCTTGCAGGCTGTAATGAAAATAATGAAAACGAGTGTTACACGAGGATACGTGGGATATCGACATAATCTACCGGGACGGAAAAAGGAAAACGTGCATGTTCCCAACAGCAAACTACGGAGAATGCTTCTCAGCTGGGCTACCGTTATCGTACTTTGGGGATTCTCGTGTTTCTAGCAGTGGATGACGCATATTACGGGCGTGGAACTGGCATGCGGGATCGTGCGCGGCTAATTTCATTATATAAGGCGAGTGATACGTCGTATCGGGAGCTGGTGCGGTTATAATTCGGCTAAATATCTCGCCAACGCTTTTGCTTTCACCTTATGTTTTGGTTATAAGACGGCCCCGCTTATTTCGCACGCGTAACAAAGTCTACTACCGGAATGCGATTTCCTCTATTCACAGCGGGATCAGATACATCGGTCGGAGGGGAATACATGGTAGAAGGAAGCCTAGAGAACGCAGACATTTGGCGTGCCATTAAAGCGGGGCAGGGATAGGGCATATTGCTCGCTACCATTTTTGTTTTCAGTAGGTGGCGCTGGTAGCGTCTGTACGCGCAGCTCCTGACGGATCTCGTTTCTCGATACTTCTCTCGGTATCCACCTGTGTGCATGTTATACATACAATTTCGAATTACGGTCCAAATCTCGAGCCGTTTTCTAGTATATGCCGCGACGAACGTTTATCTCATGCAAACGCGCGATCCAAGATTTTCACGTTGCTCCAAAAACCCGCGACTTTAGAAAATTTATATCGTAAAGATAAGGAAACGTTGGCGAGTTTTTGAAAAAGAGATAGCAACACAATTTCGATATATCGACAACGCGTTAATTTCTTCTGCCAAGTTTTCTTTATCATAATCGAATACAAAGATATATCCCGTCTCGTCGATGCAAAAATTATCGCGCGCGTTATTTTTCAGTCTTTAAACGCACGCTTTTTTTGTAATAAAAGATCTGTTAGCGTTGCTTGCACTTTTTGCACTCAGCATTTTCACCTTCTCTGTCTTCAATGCCCAAATATGTTTATCTCTTTTTAAGTGTTTTTGTTGGCATTTCAAGCAACACGGATAAGGTGTCTTTTCATGCTGACGCTCGACGCTCATTTTTAACGTTAAAATAAGTCACGTGATAGAAATTGACAAACATTGTATCAAGCATCAATTTTGATATAATATAATAATATAACTCGACATGTACAGTGTCTGTAAAAAAAAAATTATGTTGATCTATATATGTACTTCTGTAGAAATTTTAAAATTCTTACAAAGATGTAAGGCTGGTATCCCAAGAGCAGAAATTTACAGCGGAATGGAACAACACGACCAATCACAACTCTGCAATCATTATTCTGCTTTCTTTTCTGCGATTGTGATTGGTCTCGCTGTTCCGTTGTAAATTTCCACTTATGGGACGCCTAACGAATAAATTACAGAAATTGCATTTAAGGAATTTTTCTATAAAAATTAATAAACAATTTGAGAAGTTCGACCACTAATAATTAGGCCTGTTCATTTTGGCTAAACTTTTACACCAGTTCAACTTTCTTCCTTTTCTCTCCAGGAAGAAAGAAGAGGAAAAAAAATGAACTGGTACAAAAGTTCAGACAAAAAGAACAGGCCTATTAAAACACGTATCGCCTTTATTCACCATTTCAATGCGGTTCGCAATTTCGGCAAAATATCTGAAAATAATTTGAGAAAAGCGCCGTTTTTCCGCCGAGTTCCACGGAACTCCCCAAGTAATCACGCTTCTTCGTATTCGGCCGAGTAATCACGATCCCAAAGAATTCGCAAGTTCGAATCGCGCTACTACGCGAGTAGTATACTTCCGTTTATGCGCGTCGCGTACGTCCTAGCCTCGAACCCGCACCGGAAGTGTCTCCCATCAACTGTAAAAGTAACCTATTTCGCCAATAAATGTCGTCAAGTTATTTTAACAGTATCGCGAAGCGCCCGTAAAGATCCTCGGATTTTATCCGAGTCAAATTACGTCGATCGACCGAGCAACTGAATCCCGCGTAAAAGCGAATGACCCACAGAGTATAGGGGTGGGGGAAGAGTTCGATGGATGATACCTTGTATCATCCTTTTTCGAATTACTTTACGGAATATACCTGTACACATTTCCGCTGTACACGCTGCATCGTTTCAGCGAAAAAGCTCTGTATTCTGTCCAAGGCCGAATGAATTCTTTCTCTCGGCCGTTGCGTGAGTTGCGTCGTTGGTGAGGGGGGAAGAGGGGAAGAGGCACCGCCGCCGATATGATACGCCTGGCATCGAGGCTACGCCCTGCGCGCCATCGAGTGAACCCCGTTTTGTTTCCGTTGTTGCTACGAGGCTACCTCGCCGTGCGGAGTTCCGTTCAGTATCATCCTCAATCTCGTTGATTTCGTATTACAGGAGAGCTCACTTATCGCAAGTTACTTACCGCAAGTTGAACGTTCAGGTGAGTACAAATAATCAGATGTCCATTTCGTCCGATAATTTCCGTAGCTGATTTCTCGGGGGGGGAAAAACTGTGAACGTTGTAAAACGGAGTTCGATTGTCCGTTACTCTGTGTAACGTGATGTAACCCTCGCATAGAGCACGCTCTCTTACCAGCTTTCGTTCCCGCTCGGCGAAATACGACGCGCGATTCGCTTCAATGCGATGATGACGTATTTCGAAAGGAAAGTCCGCGTCGATTCGAGGAAAACATTTCGCGCGGATCATTGTTTATGCGCGTCGCATTAAAATGCGGATCGTTTTTCCGCGGCCATTATTACGACTCTGGAATATCATTCACGGCGCAATAAACTAACACGGCGCCTTTCATATCGATCGTACCGAAGCCGGATAAGCGTGATGTTTTCGTGATCGGCGCAAATTTCTAAAACTTTTAATGTCTTATAACGCGTGCACGTCGGCGTGACGCAACGAAAATGTTCTAATTCCATATTTTTTTTCCCCCCTTCAAGTCTTGCGCAAACGGAAAAGAAATTTCATGCGTCCTCTCAATCACGGAAACAGCGAGTTCCATGCGATGCGCATCTTCCGGGAAATTTCCGTACGTTTGTCTCGTGAAGCGTGTCAGCACCTTGTTGCATTAAAGAAATATTGAGAATAATTTATGATTTTTCTTACATATGCGTTGATGAAACAGTAGCATACGATATAAATACTATATAGTGGAATAATGAAAATTGTTGATAAATCCGAGATTAAATTTAATTTGAGTTACTGTATTCCTTGAAAGAACAATTATAGAAACACCGTTATGTTTTGTTTACAAACAATTAAAGTTTATTTTTAACCGTCTCTCGGTTAGAATTTTGGAAAATAACGTTTATCTTATGTTGTCATGTGATTAAACGGCAGGTTCTGCAGGTAGCCTGTTATGTAAGGTGTTTTTATATTTTCCTTTAAGAATGAGCACTCGAGTATTCGTTGGTGGCTTAACGTACCGGGTGAGAGAGCGCGACCTTGAGAAGTTCTTCCGGAAATATGGTAGAATCAAGGAGGTCGCTATGAAGAATGGATTTGCCTTTGTGGTAAGTCTAATGTGGTTCAATTGTTTTTTTTACAGTATGGTAGGGACAAGAGTCTATGTCGGTGGGCTTCCATACGGCACCAGGGAAAGAGACCTTGAGAGATTTTTCAGAGGCTACGGTCGGTTCCGTGATGTTCTCATCAAGAATGGTTATGGCTTTGTTGTAAGTATCTGTACCCAGCTGTAAATATCTTGAGTATAACACTTTACATTGCTCAATTTGGTCCTGTAATATTCATTCATTTGTCTGCAATTACTACACAAATGTATATCTCTTTGAAACTGATATGTTTTAGGAATTAACAAATCTTGATATTTTTTAGCTTTGTAATTGTTTTATAAAAATACCTTTTAACTATTTGAAAATTTTTCTTTATAAATTTATTGAATCATGTAACATATAATATTTTGTATTAAAGATTGCTGATTTATCTCTCGATCACTTTCCCTTATTTTATGAAAAAATGAAAATTTGATATTGCAATCATTGATGTAATAATGCTTTTGAATAAAGAGATAATAAAATTTATTTCCAAAAGAGATGGTTATTCGTTTTTTTTTATCATTATTTGGACCAAAGTGGGTAAGCTGCAGAGTGTTAAATTACAAATATATAACTCGATAACCTGAGTTGACCTGACCTGAGCCCTGAGCACACTGGTACTGTGGCAGTTTAGTGGAGCTGTGTGCTGCTTATCACCGATTATTCTGCAAAAGCTTTGTAAGTTATGTAATCAGGAAAACTAAACCACATCTATAATGGGCTATGTACTACCAGATAGTTACTCATACCAATAATTTGAAATTTTGTAAGCACATGCAATAATCCAGATTATGCACTCTATAGTTTTATATATAATATTGTTTGATAATGTATGATTTATTTATTAAGTAAAAAAATGATATATCTTACTCTAAAACTTTTGCAGGAAGAAATTTAAAAAAATTGTACATAAAAATTTTAGACAATTGAATAAATTAAAGTCTTAGCTATTAACATTATGCATATCTAAGCATTCTATCACATTATCTGTGATGATTGATTTTTATGTTCATTATGTACAATTCATTTCATTATTTACAATTCGTGAATAATACAATGAATAATATAGTGATATTTATAACTTAGCATTATTATTTCTGAAAGCTTTTATAATTAATACATAGATCGCATATAAATACATCAGTGATATATGATATCCAACCGATATTAAAATAAAAACAAATGCATATTATTTTTAAATAATAACGAAAAAATTCTTTTTTTTTTTTTTAGGAATTCGACGACTATAGAGATGCTGACGATGCTGTGTACGAATTAAACGGAAAAGAACTTTTAGGCGAAAGGTAATGCAATTCTATTTCATTTAGTGTATGAAACATACATGTACTAGGCGATATTAGGCGGAATGGTATAGGTAGCATGTTTGCATGACTGAATAGTTTCTATAACAATCCATTTAGTATGTGGATTGTTATTGTGATTACATGTTTGAACTATATCATAATTATAATATTATTGGTACTGGGGGTTCACTGTTTAAATACTAAGAAATTTTAATTCATGCTAACACACTAAGGGTGAGTTAAATTTGGGATTAGCGAAATTAACTAATATCACAACAGATATGTAGTTCCTTTCTACAAATTTTTATAATTTAAATAGTAAATATTAAATAATACATCTACTCTGTTGACGATAGCAATCTAAGAATACACTTTGTTATTTCATGTACAGAAATAAATTAACATGATAATAATTTAACATGATCATCTCTTGTTAAAATTGATAATTTTTTTTTAAATTGCAATATAGCTAATTTGTAAATTATTTTTAGAATGATGTTGATGCGATATTTTTTTATTATATCGAATCATAAATATCTTTCGATTTACATAATAAATATTCTTTTCTGATCAATTACTAAATAATAAAATATTTTAATTACTTGATTCTAAATGACTCAAATTTACTGACGATTAGTGTCTAAGACTACGTTTACATGGACACTTTAATATCGAGTTTAATAACATTCGTAATTAGAAGCTAGCTAATCAGTCATTCCATTCTTCAGAGAAATACTAGCTACGATTGGCCAGTTTCATAACTACGGATATTGTTAAATCTGATTAAAGATGTTCGTGTAAACGTAGTCTTAAGTTATTTGAGAAAACTAATTTTTTAGGATCTTTTTCTAAAAATATTAAGTCACTAGAGATATTCATACATAGAAATAATAAATATTGTTTTACCTGCGAATTATTTATTACTTACATAATTTAACTCAATATTTCTCGATTAAATGTCTTGTTATCTTAAGTTTGTTATCATTTAATCTTGTTATATACCACTTGAGATTAGATTGATGTGAGAAGCAATAGCATTCGAATGAGAAAATGAAATCTATTCAGCACAACACATAAAATAACTTTCTCTGAAAAATTTTCTTTTCTATATGCTTATTCTTTCTTTCTTTTGGGAATTTATGTAAGTGTCAATAATGTTAGTAGCTTTTATATGTAATAAATAATAGTAGTTTTCAACATATAATAAACATTGTAATAGCTGATAAAGTGTGGTCGAATGCGGTGGCAATATTCTTAACGCTCTAATCGCATTGCATTTCAACCTGTACCAGTAATATTATTCGCTGTTGCTTTTATTTAATTAAAGACAAATGCACAATTGTATCTGTTCGCATTTAACGGGTGTTCCGTTAATACCTTTAATTTTGCATCTATAGTAAACGGCGTCTGTCCTCCAAATTAACGATTGGACATTTAGCGAGATAAAATGCGTCTTAAATGACTTACCGCCATTTTGAACTACTTCCATCAATTCCCCGAGTAAAAAAAGTCTTGGCAATAATATATCTTCGTCTGGAAAAATGTTATATTGCTTCTTTTTTGCCGAAAAATTTGGCACATATGCTTTTTCATAAATTCATCGTGTGATCCTGTATAATGCACCGCATCATATTTTAACTTGAAAAAAAAAAATCGTAATAATACAAATGGAGAAAAATATTTGGTTGAATTAACTGAAATTTTAATGGAAAATGAACGATCCAGAATTCTGGTTAAGTTTATCAGATTTCTGATTAATTTTAGTAGATTTAACTAAGAAAATTTTGAATGTTATATTATTTTAACTAGAATTCTAGAATATTTTATCATAAATCTAGTAGATTTAACTAAAATTCTGAATCATTTAGCTTTCACCAGAATTACAATTAATTGAATCATTTTTCTCCGTGTAAGGATCACAGATATAATTATGAAAAAGCTGATGGATGTGGTAAAAGAAAATTAATTCGATAAGTAGCATCGTATAAAGAAAACAGTTTAGACTATATAAGGAACGATAATGGGTCGTGAAAGAGAGAGAGAGAGAGTGAGAGAGAGAGAGAGAGAGAGAGAGAGAGAAAGAGAGATAGGGGGAAAGAGAAAGAGAGAGGGGACAGCGCCTCAGACGAAACCGGACGATAAAGAAAGAGAGGGACGGATGATGTTTGATCAGATTTCGCGGAGAAAGGAGACTGAGGAATGGAAAGGAAAAAAAGAAGGAAGGAAGGAAGGAAGGCAGGACTGAAGCAGCTTTAGAGAGTAAGAATTAGTCGTGGACTTAGGCGGGGTTTTGTTGGGTGTGTTTCAGAGTGGCGGTGGAGATAGCACGGGGTGTTTCAGGGAGGCGAGGCGACCGTGGCTACGGACGCTCACGCTCCTGGAGAGACAAGTAAGCATATCCAATGTGTCTTGTTACAGAATTACTGTAGAGAGGGCCCGGGGGACACCTAGGGGTAGTGACCAGTGGCGCTATGGTGACTCCCGTGGTGGTTATGGGGACTCGAGGCGATCTGCGTAAGACACGCTATCCTTTTTTTTATTTTATCAGAGCGATCATTATCCCCTCCTCCCCTGCAGGCAGCCGGCTCGGGATGTGCGAAATCCAAGCGATTGATCAATTTACTACCCATTTGGATATTTTTCTCTTGTATGGATTTTTTGTTTCTTTTTTTCTCTCTTCCATGTTTTTTTTATTATATTTTATTATTTTTTTCTTATATTGTCTTGAGTTTTTTATGCCGCGTAATTCGCGTAAATCGATTTCGCACATCGTCCGCACAGGGAAGAACGTAACCTTGGATATTGATAAGCTCTAGCATAAAGAGGGCGTAAAGACGAGTGATAAATTGCGCGTTTGTAAAGTTCTCTTACCTTTGCGCATACAAAAATATGTTTAATTAGAAATCGAATTTCATCTTCAGAATTGGTTGTCTTGGATTTGACTACTCTCCAGAGTACGTCGAATTGTTAAAGTTTTGCCGCGATTAAAAAAGTGATAGCAATATAACGCCTAGCGATTACCCTCCCAAACATTATGTTTATTGCTGGTAGTTGAACGAAATGATCCGATGTAATTGGCGACTAATAGATGTGTGGTATTGTGTTTGTTACAGCCGAGACGATATGCGGCACGACAGGTACGCTATTGCTGCATTTTGAATAGATTTGATTCGATTGGAACAGGTGATTGATTGTGTGCCTGAGCAATGAGTGCAGATCTGTAGTTATTTGCTGAAGGTTTAACCGACGATCCGTTATTTCTGTTCACATGACATCCCTTTTTGCAGAGATAGTGTGAACAGAAACACGAGGACTGCATCTAGCTACAAGCAATCATTGCCCAGGTACATACATCCAATGTTACGCTCTAACGATTACACCTTAACTTACATAAACTTACTGTTTTGTAAATGTCTTGAATTATTATCATTATTACGTTTTATACCATATTTTCATTCGCATTTACATTAACGTAAAGTCAGGTCCAAGACAAACCTGCTTGCTCTAAAGACATACATGTAGATAATATCTGGTCTTTTTCCCATTGTAGATATGGCCCACCGACACGCACCGAATATCGTTTGACTGTGGAGAATTTATCAAGTCGTGTTAGCTGGCAGGTAAGTGACACATATCTCGCTTTTTTCTTTACCTTACATTTTTACCGATAATTACCTTCGTTGGTTTGATTACTATTCGCGTTTCCAGAAAAAACATTGCACTGCTTTATATGGGTTTTTCAAATTTATATATATCTCTCCGGATCTCTAAGTTTTTCCGAGTTTTTTCACAGTTCGTTTCTACTAAAGTTCCACGCGTGTCGATAAATAGCATTTCTTTTGTTCTTCAATTGTCTTTCGTCTCATTTTACGTTTATTTATTCAGAATAGAAAGCCCTATTTTGGAATTTAAAAAGATGTAAGATTTTGATCAAGTAAGTCTGGCAAAAATTGAAATCAAATTTTTATATACATGTGCAAAAGACATTTTTCATGAAAAAAAGAAAAATTAGAGAAGCGATAGAGAATAAAAATCCATATGGACAACAGAAATATCAGACACGTGCGAGATGCAAGAAATGCATTGCGGATCACCATACTTGATACAAGGGCACAGGTTTGCACGAGGAACTCGGAATAACAACACGGTCCGTGATGAAGCAGCCAAATACTATTGGACAAAGATATTCGGCGGACATCGTGGATGCGAAGAGCTCTAAAGCGGAAGAAACGAAGCAACGAATGGAGACGATAGACCGAGCGATACAGATAAATGCAAACGATATGTGGGAATACCAGGACGCAAGTGGATGCTTTTAAAACCAAAAAGCCATAAAAAAATTATACTCATAAATCGAAACGAAGACTGCATGTAAACCAAGTCTTACTTGATCAATTTACATTGTGTATATATTTGTATATTACATACATAATCTATGAAAGTAGATATATATTTTTTCTATAACTGTCGTTGCACTTTTCCGATGATTGGTTATTTACCAAAAATTTCTCTCGATCGAGTCTTGATTGTTCGACGTTACTTTTTCAATTTATTATTTCATTTACGTTCGGCCAACAGTTTGAGAAAAAACAAAATAAAATTGATGTTCTTTCCGAAGAGCCATGTCCTCTTCGCCGAGGAGGGGCGACCGGTAGGGCCAATAGACTGATGTGCGATGATAGAGATGACGATGCACGCGATGGGCCCGCCTTGAGGTCAAGTGGCACCAGGTTGGTTTCTGAGGTGTCCCGGGTGACAGAGAGAGCCGCGTGGCACTGGGATGTACACCTACCACCACCTATCTACCATCATACTACTACTCGCGCGCAGTAATACGTGGTGAATCCCGGTGAAATCCCAGTGATAGGGCTATTGTGCATACTTCAATCCTCTTCATCGTGATCACTGGGGAAAAAAAAGAAAGAGAAAGAGAGAGAGAGAGATCCAACCGCCGCTATCTACTTTATCCGTCTGGGAAACAAACATTTATTTACGTATACAACCTCCACCAATATATATCACCACTCTTCCTATTACTATAAACCGACATGGTCATAATTCAGTACCTTCACCATCGACCATCATTACAACCACCATCACATCTACCACTTCACTGTGACTGTCATTGCTACTGGTACGCCATGCAACCTAGCCATCTAGTAAGTCAGGCAACGGCCACACCCATGAGGGCATACACGGGCCGAAACCCGAACCATCCGCGACTACGCCGTACAGATCCGTTCGACCCGACCGAGCGCCGTGTGTCTGGCCTTTCTCTCTGTCCGTAAGCAAGGTGGTGCCTGGGCCCAAGGTAAATGCGTCACCTTAACCGAGTGTACTCTTAGATATACACATATATATCTATTATAACTACACACTCTTGAACGTGGTTTTGTTCACATATGTATATTATATATATATTTATATATATATAATTATAATATATACCTATCTATACACCTTATTTAATATTACTGTGCACTATAGCTCAGCGTACATCGAACTGTTCAAGTTTTATGAAGTTCGGAGCTGTGCACGCGCAACTAAATGCGAAATCGGAGATAGGGAATCACTAGTGATATGTTTACGTGCTCGAAATTAGAAATCTACTTGTTACTCGCTAAATCAATTTTGTGTCTCAACGTATGATAATATCCGAATTATTTTCTCTATTTATAACAATTATCAACAATTATCTTTCTATCGCGAATATGTTTCAAAATTTTCTAAATAGCAAAAGACCAACTTTTCTTTATGCAAAATAATTTTGCATTATTACATTATATTTTAAATGTAGCAAGTGAGAAATGATATTTCAGAGGAAATTTGTCCAGCGTTGGAATATATCTTTGGCAATGGCATGCATTTTTTTATTTTTTTTTTTTTACATGGAATTTGCACTTGGACCTTGAGAAACATCAACACAAATCTCAGACAGGCCGCTGCCATGTGGTATCCCACAGATACGGAGATGTCTGCGCTATCTCATACTCGCCATGTAAAACAACGGACACATAGCCACACCTACCTAGTATCTCCATAACACTAAAGCCGTACCTGGTTCCCACACACGTACAGAGAGAGAGAGAGAGAGAGAGAGAGAGAGATAGAGAGTGAAAGAGAGAAATATACATATAAGCAAATCTCCCAGCGATGAACGCAAATGGACCACTAGACAATATTTACCTTCACTCACTAATATCCTTCACGAGGAATATCTGCGAAGCATCGAACTAGATGATGTGCGGAAGAGACAACAAAAAAGAAAGAAGAAAGGATAATGTGCAAGACATCTGTTTACAATATAGAGTAATCTTACAACATTAAGAGAAAAAAATCCAAGAAAATATTATGGAAGAAGAATTATCGATGAATTTATTATGGTTTTATTTTTAGCGAAAAATTAACACAATTTTTATCCTTAGTTCCTTATGTCCAAACTTATTTTTTTTTATTTTATTGCGATGCAGAATGTATTCGCATAGCCTTCGAAATTTTTGCTTAACTTTTACTGAATATATTTATGTATATTAAATTTTTAATTGTCGGCTTTATAGCGATTTTTTGCTGTATATATGTAATTCTTTCTAAAGAATTATATATTATTTAAAACAGTACATTGAATATATTAGTTACAGTTATACTATTTTTTATGACACATGTTACAGATATTTAAAAAGTATCGCATTTATTAAAAAATTATTACTTTTGTAATTATATTGTGAGCCATCCTGCAGAAATGAAAATTACTCTCAAAAAGTTCGTATTAATTGATTGATACGAATATTGATTGATTTATATAAGCGTTTTATAAATAATGTCTCATTATGCAGGGTGGAGTTGTCTATATGTATAAATTAAATCATAATTATCATAATCATAATTATTTAAAAGATTGAATTGCACAAAAAGAAAGGTTGTGTCGATAAGCAGATACTAAATTCGAACACATAATTGATAACTTTATTCTCAACACTGAAGACGCGAGCAGATGTAGACACCATGCTTATCTCTTTCTCTAGTCGAGTAGATCCAGGTTACCTCTGTCAAGGAAAGAAATTGAAATAGCATATAACGTATGAGTGCACAGGATATATTTTAACCTGCGCGATACATCAGACTAGGAACACAGTATAGTAAACTCCAACTACTAATTCTATTTTAAATCTATTCGCATATTTATGTACATTAGCTTAGAGAAACATATTAATTTTGGTTCTTGTGATGTTCAGGATTTGAAGGATTACATGAGACAAGCTGGAGAAGTGACATATGCTGATGCTCATAAACAACGTAGAAACGAAGGGTAAATAACTTTGTTAATTGTGAAAATGATAAATAAAATTAAGTCATTCTGTTTTAATAACTAAAAGAAACAGGAAATTATAGCATTACAGCAAGATTATTTATAAAAAATATCTGCGCATCTCTCTGCATTGTCTCGTGTTACATTGATCTTACGATTCAAACGATTTATGATTTTGCAGAGTTGTCGAATTCGCGACATACTCCGACTTGAAGAATGCTATTGATAAGTTAGACGACACAGAATTGAACGGCCGCAGGATTAGACTCATCGAAGATAAGAGACGTGGTCGTCGTTCAAGATCCTCTAGTTCGCGATCGCGTTCCCGATCCCGATCTCGATCACGTCGTCGGTCGCGCTCCCGTTCAAGGTATAATCGTCGTTCTCGATCCCGATCAAGGTACTGTCGAGGCGACATTACGTCACCTGTTATGTTTTCTATTACGATTTATCTTTATCTAGATACAGTCTTGATACGACAGTCTACAAAGTAATCCATTTATTATTTTGTCCAAATTTATTATTTTTTAATTAAGTTTCTGCCATTATTTTTTTTTTGTGTAAGTAAAGTAATAATAAGTGTTTAAAGTAATTTGTCATAACTTAATTGTTTATAAACTTATAAATTTATTTTTGTTTTAAGTTCATTTCTATTTTATTTATGAGTTGATCAAAGTTAATTTTTTGCAAAAACGATTGCAAAACTTATCGCATAATGAAATAATTTGCGATAACATCCGAAACCATTTTAGAATATTAATCCTTATTGCTGTTTTCTGTAATGTAGAAGCCGTCGCAGTTCTCGTAGCCACAGCCGTCGTAGCACCCGTTCCAAGTCAAGAGCACATTCGAAGTCCAAGTCCAAGTCTAAATCCAAATCCCCTGAGCGTAGTCGTTCACGCTCAAAATCCAAGTAAGTATTTTTGTTTTATCAATCTGTTTACTCTATTCATAACTGTATATTTATTTCACTTATTTTATTTTTTTTCTTGCGCAGTTAGTCACAGTCAGTATACACTCTCATTCCCATTTATTATATTGGCATTGTTTTTGGGCTGGCTACGTGCCTTGAGCTCTCACGCTTAATCACGCTTTATACGCGTTCACTTATTCACCGTACGCGCGCGCTTGGAAAACGACAGAAAAAAAAGAAAGCGAGTTTCTTTGTATTTTGTCAACTTTCTCTACTTTCGTATCCCTTTCATTTTGAACTATAATTTTGCAGATCAAGAGACCGCTCAAAGTCGAAATCTAAGTCAAAGTCCAAATCCAGATCTCGTTCTAGGTCCAAGGCTGAGAGGTCAAAGTCCAGGTCGCAGTCCAAATCCAAAGCCAAGTCTCCCTCAAAGTGAGTCCTCTCGCTGGCCTTTTCTTTAATCGATACATAGTTGGCGCAAGAAAATAAAATTTCTCGAACGATGACACAAATGCTGAACTCCTTAAACGTTCCTCCTCCTTTCAGGGATAGGTCGAGCCGCGAGCGTTCCAGAGGTGACAGATCCCGCTCCCGATCAGGAAGCAAACATAGCAAGAGCCGTAGTCGCTCTCGTTCGCCTATGAATGGTGACAAATCGCCGGAGAGCAGCAAACAGAAAGCCGACTAAGCAGAGAGATAAAAAAATCAGCAAACTATTATTTGTTCTTTCTTTTCCTTCTTTTTTTGTTTTTTTCTCGATCATTTTTTATATTCAATCATATTAAAAAGATCACTATTTCATATCTTCTATTCATTAATCTTAATGAGGTTTTAAACCTGTATCGATGCTCTCCTTTCAATATAATTTGAACATTTTAAAGATATAATCGGAATTTTTTTGTAAAAAAAACCAACATTATTGTTGATTTGAGGTAATTTTTGATTTAATTACTTAAATCATAGTTAGCCATGGCTTTTGCCTTTCATTTTTTTATTACATAGATATCATTAGGTTTAGCGATACACATCATCTGACCTATACAATTCGCGTATTTAGATAAGTATTCTTTATTCATACCTCGAGACTACAAATCTTTTCATTGTATCGCCGTATATGATACGAGTTTCCTTATAATGGCTTTTTGTATATATTCCTAATGGTTACATTACAATAAGAAAGTATGTGATGTGTATTAAATTTAGAGGTAAGAGGTGTCTCAACTGTCAATAAAAGTTCATGTCGATGCAAATTAATATTTCATATCCAAATCATTCCCAATATTGTTCCCAATTATTTGTTTCGAACATATTTAAATACTGAATCGAATATTCCGGAATTGCGCATTAGTATATTTATTTAGTATATAGAACAATTTAAAAAAAACGTTGCAATCAATTATAATTTTAGAATTTAATTCATAAAAACGACTCTATTAATTCTTAATTAATTACTACCTTATTGTTTTTTATAATTTTCTCTATAAATACTATTCCAAGTTATAATAAAAATTATCGCACATCTATCCAAATTTAAAAAAATGAGCAAAATTGTATCTTTTTATTTCCGATTATTTCGAGTTCTCAGTTTAACTAAAACGGAACTTTACGAACGAACATGTGTCACGCAGATGTGCCTACATAGGACTCGGATGACTCACTGACGTGTGTGTCAACCCTAGTATTTTCGTCTCCTTTCACCCCCTAACATGAGAATATAGGCATCGCAAACTCGGTTGTCCAGCTCGAGAACGAGAGGGAGAAGGACAAAAATAAGGAGAAGAGGATATAAAAAGATTGTCGTCGAAAAGAAACTGCGCCGTTGTTCAATGCCAAATTCGCGGCGCCGGCTGTGCGTCGAACGTAAATTCCCGGTCGTCGCTGAGGGTGAGTCAGTTACCCCTCCGCATGACGGTCAAGGAGACGATCAGAAAGAAAGACGCAGAAAAGGGGAACGCAATTAATTGACGCTATTGGGGAGGTAGCTAAGCGTCGATTGGTCCCCATTCGTGAGCGGTGGGGTCCCAGTCCAGGAACGATATGTGCACTCGCAAGACCCAGATGCTATATATGTTGTGCACGTGTGCTGTAAAAAAAATGAGATATGATTTACATATAATCCGAAATTTTATTTCTCTAATACATATTAACATAGTATGAACATTATATTCTTTTGTCGCGTATATAAAAATTGAAAAGTTAATTCTAAATTAACTCTACGGAGTACAACTATAATTTAAGTTTATTTATTTATTTCATCTCTTATTTATTTTTCTGTTTTTTTGTCGCTGCACTGCTGTATTAAAAATGTCTTACTTTCATCAAACTCCAAATATAATATATATTAACTGTACAATAATTCACAAAGAACAGATTTACTGTTCTTTGAACACGTTGAAAATAAAACATAATAAATAAAACCAAAGATTTCCTTTTTTTTTTCCTTTTTTTGTATGATGCTACTACTATTACAATGAACTACTTGTTTATGAACTAATTATTCGAATTTCCAGGCGTGTTAACGGCATTGAAAGACACTGCAGATACTTCATCAAATCCTTTTCAGCCTTTTCTGCGCCGATCCTGGCGAGAGGGGCCTGTCATCCTAAGAGGGGAGGCTGCGGGTAGAGGGGGATGAACGACGGGCGCTGTTTGACGCTGTTACCTGGTGTTACGTGTCGCAGAAGCACTAACCAGTCAGTCAGTATACCGTCTCGTTCCTGCTCTTGAACAACGTCTGCTGTTCGACAGTGTCCGCGCCTACCTGCGCCTTAGAAACTACACGCGTCAACTGACAGGTCAGTGCACCCTTCGTCGCGAGTTACACCATAGTTTCCTCACAGCAATGTGCGTCCAATGGCGGATTAAAAGCGAGCAGAACGAACCGGTCGAAATCGTAAATACTTAGCGAACATTCTCCAAAGACATTTCGAACATCTCCCGGATTCCTGTGTACTCTTAAGGAAGTTACTCGCTCGAAACAAATTCACTTTCCAAAAAAATTGACCGGTGAACGACAGCGACCATCATTTTCTTCTTTCTCTCATCATCGTCTTCTGTCCTCGCTTTCGCATATTAGGTTGCAGAAGTGGAAAAGAATTGACATCGAGACTAGCGTGAGAGCGTCGGGGAACCGTGACACACTGTACAGAAAGTGGTGCTTTCGTTGCTTTCCTTCGTGAAGCGGCGAAACGTTTAGCAATCGGTTCTTCACTTGCGAAATATCTCCCGAAATAATTGGCGAAACTAATAAGTGAGTTTTCTCCGAGGATAATAGTGATCTGGAAATAGAGTTTCGACCCCGTGAATCACGGACTCGTCTTATAAATCGGCTTTATAAATAGTTATCACTATTTCCCGGCGTTACGATTCTCGTTTGATAATTTCAACGCGAGTTTATAACTTATCTCAAGTAACAGTGTGTCTTTCGTATACTCACAGAGTTACAATTACCATCGAATTCTTTGATATAAACACATGCTTTGATATAAATACGCAGCATTGAACCGTTTATGTTTATTCACAATAATTGAAACGCGACGTTTCGGCGTGAGCTCCATTTTGCTAGTAGCGTAATAATTAAATTTGATTGTCGCTTTACAGGTAAATAATTTCTATGTCTGCGGCGATAATAGGAATATTGTAGGATGAATTTTCCGTGACTGTAACATATAATAAATTAAATTGCATATCTCGAAATTATATGTTGTCTTCACCGGGCTTGTACCAAGATATCGATCGGTCTTTCGTCGCGATCGAAAATGGACCCGGGGTGTGGTCGAAAGGAATCTCTTTTTAGAAGAAAACATTTTCCTATTCATTCATCTCCGTAATTGAGTGGTGGCATCGCGAATCAATGATGTTCTTCGTAGAATGTGACGAAAAGTCAAACGAAACGGGATGAGTCATTTACCGTTTTAATAATGAATGTTTTATCATAAAAAAAAACTGCTATAATATACGATGCTCATCACCGTATTTTACTCATCTCTCATTACAGTATTTTCCTAAAATTACAGTGCAGACATAAAATACGTATTATTAAAACGTGGGTAAATTAGATTTTTTATCGCTCACCGACAGGGATTTCTTTTCTGTATGTGTTACTAGTGATACTTCGTATGCACCGTATTATATTGTAATTATGCACATACATGAGGATCGATAAGATTAGTAGACGCAAATTAATGAGCCTGAATTAATAAGTAAACTGTATCGCATGAATTTATGGTGTTTTTTTCGATCGGAGCAATTTAAAACGTTTCGAAAGAAGTTAAAGGAAGAAAGTTTAAGGAAACTACTTTCCTGTGTGTTTATATAAACGTGTGTTTATATAAACGCAAATGTCAAATGTGCAAAATTAGACGTAACAAACTTATTAAAGATTTATTCATCGATTATTCTCTGATTTGCTTCATATATTTTCTTATTATTCTTCATTATTATATTTTTATTATTTCTTCACTAATCATATTTTTTTTTTACATTTTGCCGTTTACATTTTTGTTTGTTCTAAGAAATTGATTCCAAAATATAATAATTTAATGTGTAATTATATTTAGACGCTGCTAATTAAATTTAATTATTCTTTCCAAAT